AGTGCCGGGGAGCGCTGCGGCAGCGGCCCGGGAGGGGGAGCACGAGTCGCCCCTGAGGGCCGGGGAAAGGGGGAGCGGGAGGGGCCTGGCGGCGGCCGAAGAGCCGGAATCTGCTCCTCTGGGGACCAGTGAGGAGGTATTACAAGTTTTTGCTTTAAAAGCAGGAGCTAACGTGAGGGCACGGCAAACCCTCCCATTCCCACTGGCACCATCTCAGTGTGCGCCGGGACCTGCTCCCTGGCCGGGCAGCGTCAGCAAAAAAAGTGTCCATTCTCTTCTCAGAGGGCAGGGCCCGACAGGGTGCGTCACCTGCTCCGAAGCACCCCGGGCTGGTCGACACGTTTAAAACGCCTGGTTCTCCTCGGCCAAACAGGGCTGCACAGGTTGTGCCACAAGCTTTTGTGTGGTGGAGACTCTGGGGGGGAATTCTCTCTCAACCACTCTAAAATTGTGACCTTTGAGACTAGTTGGCACGCTCCAAAGTGTTAACATAAATTTGGTCTCAAAAGAACCTTATAAGACTTAGTTGGAAGGTTCATAAGGCAGACATTCTTTATTGCAGCGCTGGATGCACGGGGCATCACTCCACCTAACATGTATGCCGAAAGACTGAGGCACACTTATTATATACAATAAAAGAAATGAATATTCATGTAATTTCTGAGAAGTACACACCTATTCCCAGTAGATTTGATACATATGTTAATACATTGCACAAGAGTACTAAATTTGGGGAAGGGCTTCCATGGGTGTTTTTGGTGGTCTGTGGTGGTCTCTAGTGGTCGCTGGAGAGGTGTCTCAGTGTCCTTTTAATGACCTCTGAGTCTTTTTTCATATAAGGCTCATTGCTCTGTCTGTAAAGTTTCTCAGCTTTCTTGTCTTTGGCTCCCACAGGTGTCTGCTGGTTTCTCTGCCCTCCCCAGGATGTTCCCATCACAGCTGCACGAATTATGTCCTTGAGTGCATTCTTGTCTGAGGCCCCTTACAGCAATTAGCAATTAGCTTGCAGGCATCAGCTAGCGGGCATCAAAAGAACTGAGAAAGTGTGATAGCTGATCCACCAAGAAGTAAGTGCTGGGTAATGGTGCCATGTCGTGTCCGAGTTCAGTGCCTGCACCTTGTGCTGCCTGTCTGAAGACCTTCCCTTTCAAGTAATAAGGCAGGGATTATCTGCCCCTTAAATTATCCCAATGCTATTTCCCTCTCTGCCTGTTCAAAAAACCCTGTCTGATTTCTTCAGCTATCCTGGGGATTTCAGAGGAGCAGATATCTGAGGATGAGGAGAACATCCATTTGTTCCCAAATCTCAGAACCTGTCCTGTTGTTAGCATGAATAACAAAAATGTCACTGCTTTAAAGCAAATTTTGCCCCACATATGTGCTAGGTTTGTTAGCCATGACTGGGGAAGACATTTCCTCTTAACAGGAGGAAAAAAAGAATATTAGAAATGTCTTTCCAATGATACCTCCCTGAATTTCTAAATCTATTGGAGGGGAAAATTAGTCTAGTGTGCAACAGAGAAAAGGTGTTTTATTTCCCTGAGTAAAAACTCTGTGTTTGGGAGAATATGTACTGTCTGCTCTAACTTTACCCCTTTGTTTTCATGAGGAAAAAATAATTTATTGACTAAATATCATTTATAGTTATGTTGGTGATCTATTCCAGTTAAACCCTGTTTCAGTGAAAAGAAAGAATATGTGGCAACTGTAAGAAGAGGAAGGGTACCTCTATGTTTTCCCTAACATTCACAATAACATAGCCTGCACAGTATCAGGTGATTCAGCAAATGAGCCTCTAATTCTGTAAGACAGCGAGACTCTTGTTTTTTTCATTTTCATGTTGGTATCAGGCTGTTTCTCCACTTCACTGCTGTTTGAGCTCTGTGAATAATTAAAACATGCATTCATGCTGGTGCTTGAGCTGAAATGTTCTGATATTCTGAGTTCATGAAAGTCAAAATCTCCAAGCTTTAAGCCTAGAATAAAAAGTGTAGTATTGTAAGAGCTCCTGGATTCCTTCTAATAATCCACTTGACATTAACAAATAGATTGGAAGAACTGTAAATGCTGTTTCTCTAATGCTGCCTCTGGGTGCATTACAGAATTTTTATGGATAGTAGAGCCCATATTAACACAACCCTTTCTAAACAGAAAAATTACACTGCTTCCCTGTTGCTTCATGGATTGGTTTTCTTAATGTTTAGAGATTAGAATAGCTTGCTTCAACATCTAATTTGTTATCTAGCAAAGATTGCTTTAAATCACTGATTAGGACAATTCAGAAAGCAATCCAACTGTTCATTGCACAGATGTAGGAAACAGTGTCTCAGAATATCTGAGGATGAGCTGTCTTAACTTTCAAAATTAATTGACCCAGAAAATTGATCACTAGAGTAAATATCATATCAAATTCTTTAAAAATTGCTTTGTCATATTACGCTACTCTTTTAACCTTCAATTGGAGCAGCCCAATCCCTAGTTCTTTGAGGACATTGATACTGGGTGAATTGTGCCATAAAGTTCTTTACCAGTCACCGAAGACATTTAGGATGCTTGAGCAGCTTCACGTTTAACATCATTGCTATTATTTACCTAATTTAGAAAGGTTATTAAGATAATTTATGTGTCAATTGTGGTGGGTTAACCTGGGCCAGCAACTAAGCAACCACCAGGTGCTCAGTCACTACCCCAGCCCACAGGATGGGGAAGAGAATTGGAAAAGCAAAAGCGAGAAAAACTTGTGGGTCAGGATAAAGACAGTTTAATTAGTGAAGGAAAGAGAGAAAAGAAAAATGCGCAGCAAGTGATGCAGAGGCGGTCTGATGCTCAGCCAGTCTCTGGGGAACAGCTACTTTGGAAAGACTACCCACGAGTTTTATTGCTGAGCATCACGTTACATGGCATGGAATATGCCTTTGCCCAGGTCGGTGTCAGATGACCTGGCTGTGTGTCCTCCCAGCCTTTTTCCCACCCCCAGCCTACTTGCTGGCAGGCAAAGTGAGAAGCAGAGAGGGCCCTGACACCACTCAAGCACTTCTCTGCAATAGCTGAAATATTGGTGTGTTATCAACACTGGTTTAGTCACAAATCTAAAACATAGCACCATATGGGCTGCTATGAAGAAAATGAGCTCTATCTCAGCCAGGCACAGTACAGATCTATTTGTCAGATAAGGACCTGTACTTTGTAGCTCCTTCATGACTTCAGCTGTAACAGAACCAGACTGCTGTCCATCCCTGAATCCACAGAATGAGGAATACAGTACCTGTCCTCTGACAAATTGACTCTCCTACCTACTCCTTCATTATGCAGTTTGGACTCCTAATCCACAATGGAGCAACTACTCTGCCAATGTTCTCCTACTACTGAGACTCTGTTATGGGTTTTTTGTTGTTGTTGTTGTTGTTGTTGTTGTGTCTGTTACTTAGAAGCCCATGGACTTTTGTACTTTATGGGATAGACAATTTTGTCCAAATGTTCTAAATGCATTATTTGCTTTTACTTAAAATGTGCTGGGCTACAGTTTGAAAACATTTATGGAGCATCTGTAGGGGTACTGCTTTTGTCTTTGATATATCTACTATATTACTGCATGATTTATTGTTGAAATTTCTTGCTCTCGACTTTAATTCATTGTAAGAATCATTGGTGACTGTTAACAAACAAAATATATGGATCTAAGTATCTGTCCTGTAAAGTACAGCTGCAGGAACTGGCTCTCTGAAAGAAGTGGGGTTTTTTTACATGCATTAATAGCTTCAGCTCCAAGTTAGCAGATGTTCATTTTATAAAATAATATACCTGATATATTATTACCTCTGTCTTGCTGTAAAATCTAATGCACAAGGTCAGGATACAGCAAGACAAGGGGAAGCTGAGGAAGATTTGAAGATGATAGGTTTCTAGAGATTGACTACCCATTAAAAATAAGAGTTGCTATGATTAGAATAAATTTTGATAATGACCTGAAAGCAGAAGATGCTTTAGAAGAAAGGCAGCTGACCAGACTTCTACACAACATCCTTTCTGTTAACTCCAATGCTGGAATGACTTTTAAGGCTATATACCACAGGCATAAGCAAAGTGTGTTAGAAGCCCTTCATAAATCACTATTAAATTGTTTGTGCCTGCACTGAATCATAATTTTTTATTATCTCATTCATTATTCAAAAATATCTGTGTGATGGAACATGATTAAGAGAATTCTATTGAGGACACGCAGTGAAAAGATGCAGTATGATAATTTTTAAAAGATTAGTTTTGTTCTGCATTATATATGATTCTACCTCCCTCTTTTTAGTGATGATTAAGACCTTGCTCTAAAAGGTAGGTTGCCTTTGGGCTGTTATTAACTTGACTTTCCCAAGTACTCTACCCTGTGCAGGAAGTGCAAGTCTGAATAAGCCAAATGACTGATCTATTTCCTCAGCTTCTTTCTTTTATATAACATGAGGCCTGATGTAAAACACAATGAAGTCAGGGGAAATTTTTTAATTGAGATGATGTTTTGAATCTGGTACTCTACTTGTTCCATAAAAGCCTGAAGCTGACAGATCTTAGCTCTGA